ACTTTAATTGATTTCTGGATTAAGCATTCATTAATTCCTAACTCTTGTGTTTAATTATAAATAATCAACTAGTCAATGTATACGATTCTGAATCGAGTTATGCATTAGTATTAGAATTTGCAGATAACGGTACTCTAAGGAATTATTTACAGAAAAATCCTGACCTCAGTTGGTCCAAAAAGTTTCGCCTCGCTCTACAGCTTGCTAAAGCTATTATGCACATGCACTCTAAGAATATTGTCCATAGAGATCTTGTAAATAAAAATTTATAATATGTTCGTAATTTAATATAATTTAAATGTTTATACTATATCTAACACTTATCAATGTAATACATACAGCACTCAAATAATATACTAGTTCACAAAAATAATATTAAGATAGCTGACTTTGGGTTGTCTAGATGTTTAACTGATGCATCAAAAACCAGTACATGGCTTGCTGGTTATTTGGCATACATTGATCCTCATAGCCTCAAGAATTCTGAAAAGAAATCACAGGAAATAAATATGGAGTATGATATATATAGCTTAGGTGTGCTTTTATGGGAAATATCTAGTTTACGTCCTCCATTTGATGGAAAAGATAGAAACGATCTGTATATTCAGATATTAAAGGGTTGTAGAGAGACAACTATTTTAGGAACCCCACCACAATATTCTGCTTTATATACTGGTTGGTTACTCATAATTTTGCGGTTTTGGCTATTATTTTCAAACATTAAATCATTTATAATCTTCTAATCATCTACTAAAGAATGCTGGCAGGATGATCCGAAAAAACGTCCTACCATTGATAAAGTTGTATATGAACTCGGGTGAGTGTCTTAGAATTATAATATGTAAAAAATTTAATCAGATCAAACAAAATTTCTAATCACATGTATATTAAACTAGCGAAATGCAAATAACAAGGTATTCGATGCTAGCATTTTTAATATTTGTATTGTCTAAATATCATTTTTATAACCAATTCATTGTAAGTATTATTTTTTTATTTCATTTAAATTAGAGC